TTGTTGTTTGCTTGATTTTTGGTTTTTGGTTTTTTTTAACCAGTCCTGGGGCTTGTGAACTCAAGGCAGGGCACCGCTGTACCTCAGCATCTTTTGTTCAAGGTTAGCACTCTAGCCACTGTGCCACTTTTGGCTTTCTGTGTATGTGGTACTGAGAATTAAATCTAGGACTTCATGCATGGTAGGCAAGCTGCCTACCATTAAGCCATATTCCCAGCCCGTGCTAAGTATTTTGAGAGTATAACTTGTTTTCTGTAACTTCAGCCATCTCTAAAGATGAAATCTAAAATTATAAATTCTACCCATTTCCTACAAATAAAATGAAGATAAGATGTTGTAAAATAGCAAAATTTCTCAAGAAAAGTTTATCAGATAAGATGCAAAATGCTATATTCACTTTTATCTTCTGGGTTGGAGAAGTGAGGTTTTTGTTGTTGTTGGTGGTGATTTTTGTTTTTATTTGTTTTGTTCTGTTTTTGTGCTGGTCATAGGGCTTCAACTCAGGACCTGGGTACTGTCCCTATGCTTATTTGTTCAAGTCTAGTACTCTATCAGGTGAAGTAGGAGCTCCACTTTGGGCTTTATTTATTTTTTAATGGTTAATTGGAGATGAGTCTAAGAGACTTTCCTTCTTGGACTGTGTACTATGATCCTCCTGAGCAGCTAGGATTACAGGAGTGAGCCACCAGCACTGGCTAGAAGTGTTTTGAGATGTGGCATTGAATCAATGGATCAATTGAATCATTTAATCAATAACAACTTAATTTGGAAGAAAATTAATTATCCTTCAACAAATGAATAATCATTCACCAAAGAGCATAACAAATCAGGAGCCCTGACCTTATAAAACTCTAATCGGGAGGACAAAAATGGTACATTTATTTATTTATTTATTGGTTGGTTGCTGAGCTTGAACTCTAGCCTGGGAGCTGTCCCTGAGCTCTTCAGCTAAAGATTAACACTCTACTACTTGAGCCACAGTGCCACTGACATTTGATAATAGTCTCATGGACTTTCCTGCACAGGCTGGCTTTTAACTGTGATCCTCAGTTCTCAGCCTCCTGAGTAGCTAGGATTACAGGTGTGAGCCACCAGCACCCGACTATTTTGATATTTTTATTTAAAGTATGTGGAAAGAGAATTAAATAGTTTATATCCCCAAATTCCCTTTTTGACTGAACCATCGTAAAAGACAAAGTAAGAACAATGGAGTAGATTGTACCTCCCTCTCTGATCCTGCTGACTGTTTTAATTACAGAAAAGATATTACCTTCAAATTCCTTGTCTCTTTTCTGTGTGGAATATCTGTCAGTCCCTGACACTTTTTTCTGCAAATGTTTATAATTTATTCAAGTCAACTTTCTTACTGATTTCTGAATTTGTTTTAATAAAAGTTACCTACCTTTTCCCCACATATTATTCATCCATATTTCCTTTCCTCTTCTACACTCAAATATTGCTTTGGCTTTCTTCATAAATGAAGGTATAGATCATTTTGTTTTTGACATCTCTTAATCCTTTGAAAGATATATTGACAAAATACTGAGCACATTCCTCTGGCATATTACTTCTTACCAATACCCATATTACTTCTGTTCCAATACCAATTTTTTTGCCATTCCAAAGGGTTTCTATACCATCACTTAAAATCTCTTACCATTCATACCAAAGGGGTTTCATGAGACATTAATTAAGATGTGAAATTGTTTCATGTTAATTGCCCACACCTTTCTGAGATCTGCTATCAAGACAATTAAATATCCTTTATGGTACATTAACCAACAGAGCAATCTAACCTTTCCATGTCTCAGAAATTATGGAGGGCCAAGGAATATTTGATTAAACTGGTAAGAAGAAAAATATGAATCATATTTTATCTTCTTGTAATGAAAACTGATAGAGGATTGGGATACTTATTAGGGTGTAACATACAAATTTCGCGCAAAACAAAATTTATGTTATCTGCATTTGCAAAAAGACCAAAATGTGTCAGCAACAACTGCAGTGGCTCCAGTGGGTGCCTATTAGTTCAGTCATCTTCCTAGCTCGTTGTTCTTTAACTACTTTTGGAACAGAGTTACACATTTATGACCAGGAAGGCCTGGGTCATAATCCTCCCATTTGTACTTCCTGTGCTGCTAGGATGATAGGCATTCATCATTTCACCCAAGTTTTTGTTTTTGGTTAAGAAGAGGTCTTACAAACTTTTTTCCTGGACTGACTTCAGTGATCTTCCTAATCAATAGCTCAATATCTGCTTCCTGAATAGCAACGATTACAAGTATAAGTACCCATATGGGATTAGTGATTCTTGATCTATCATTTGTTTGTCTAAATTCTTTAACTGCTAAATTAAGCTCCTCCAGAACAAAAGATCAAGTCAATTATCAAAGCAGTGCCATTACTGAAGTGTTTCCTTTGTCCTTTCTTTCTTTTCAGGCTATTTCAGTTATGCGGTTCTAATTACATTTTAAGTATATGTCTCTGTCTCTGTCTCTCTCTCTGTAGATCCTCCAGGTTGATTAACTAAGAGCGTGGGAAGCTGCTTTATGGCATATACTGGATAAATAGATTTTCAAGGGAATTAGTCATTAATTCCTCTGAGTTTCCCTTCGCAATAACCTGTTTGTCATAATTCACACAAATAAAAATATGCTTTATATGCTGGGTGCTGGTGGCTCATGCCTGTAATCCTAGATATTCAGGAGGCTGAGATCTAAGGATTGCAGTTCAAAGCCAGCTCAAGCAGAAAAGTCTCTGTGAGACTCTTAACCTCCCATAAAATACTCAAAAAAGCTAGAAGTGGCACTGTGGCTCAAGTGGTAGAGTTCTAACCTTGAGCATAAAGAGGTTCAGGGACAATGCCTAAGACCCATGTTCAAATATATATTTATATATATACATATATACATATAAAATATGTATATATAAATATATACATGTATAATATACATATGTATGTGTTTTATAAATAAACCGTTTTTCTCATAACTGAAATTATTTTTATTATTTTGCTCATAACTGAAATACAGGTAACAGCAGTTAGATTTGAGGACTTCTAGATTCCAAAAGGAACGTCCGTAAGATTTTCTAGGTTTGATAGTAATCATTTCAAATCCCCAAAAGACAGATTGTTGAATTACTAATTTGTACAATTTGCAATTGTCAGAATCAATTCTCTAAGCTAATCAGTCAGCTCTGTATCCTCTGCTACTTCGCCAAAGGCATTTAAATCCTTTGAGGAGATTGGAAGAATCATCCAGTGAAGTCATTGAAATATTTTTAAATCTGACTTGAAAACATATAGTGGGTGATCATGTTCTGTAAGACACTTCACGTATTTTGCTAGTGTGCTTTGTACTACTCAAAGGGCATTCTGGATATTGCTGGCTTTAGCAGCACCTGGGAGGTCAGTGAAAATGCAGAATCTTAAAGCCACCAGAGAACTTCTGAATCATAAGCAGCATTTCAGTAATCTCCTAGATAATTCAAATGGGCATAATGCTGAATAGTTTCTACTATATGCTGAGTAGGTGCTTTTTCATCATTGAAGTGGTCTCAGGGATGTTTTCTTTGTATTCTCAGTTCTCTTTTAGTCTAGTTTTAGATTTGTTAGAATACCTTAGGCCAAAACAATTCATCACCATGTTTTCTGAATTCTGCTATCTAAAATCTTAACAAATAATCAGTCAACTCCTCCATCTTAAGTGTCTTTGGTTGCTGATTTTATAAGGGTTAGAAAACTAATCCTCATAAAATGTCACTTTTTAGTTGGGAAAATAAGTTCAAGTTGACAAAGTGACTGAGCCCAGTTTTGGATCCAGTTGTTATGACTCTTAACATCCAAGCCCAAAGAAGAATGTTGGAAAATAACATCAAATTATTAAACCTGAGCCAGACACTGGTGGCTCATGGCTGTAACCCTAACTACTCAGGAGGCTGAAATGGGGGCTTAAAGCCAGCTGGGGCAGGAAAGTCTGTGAAACTCTTATCTTCCATGAAGCACCAAAAAAGATAGAAGTGGACCTGTGGCTAAAGTGGTGGAACACTACTCTTGGGCAAAAACGCTCAGGAACATCCCAGGCCTTGTGTTCAAGCTTCAACAATGGTAGACACACACACACACACACACACACACACACACACACACACACACACACACACACCATTTTAGTGATGATTAAATAGATAAAGATGCAGACTAGATTGGCTATTTGTTCCTAAATCCAGGATGAAAGTAGCTTCTGCTACTTAAGTGTCTTACAGTCACATTTTGTCTATTTTGTAAAAGGCTAGGAAGAGAATTAATGCATTCAGTATGCGGATTGATCTTATTTAATGAGAATGACTATGAATTGGAAAACAGTTTTCTTTCCAAACTATCATTGAGGAACAGTAGCTTAAGAACCTGACAAAAAAAAAAGAAGAAAAGAAAAATAGAGGGGAAAAAAGGAACTGTTCATATAGATGAGAACTGAAACCTCATGGATACATATTCACATTTATTACACATGAATAACTAAAAGTTTATGGACTTTGTACCTTAAGTGAAAAAATTGAGAGCAATCATGGAAATTGATTTCCTTTTCTTCTTCTCTATAACTCACTATTTACCATTCCTTTCACAAGAAATCCTAAAAATTTGACAGAGGAATGTCAAAATGCTCACAGTAAGGTAAAGATTAGGAGCATGTCAGTCAACATTTCAAGGCTATATGTCCTTCATTTCTAACTCAACAAATATCCTGTTTCATTGGTTAGGAGATTATAAAGACTCAAGAAACAACTCACATATCTGTACTTCAAGAAAACCTAATAATAGATTGTGGCTAAATTGCAGTAAAGGGAATTATGTATATTCACTAGGCTTATGCCCAACTTAAAACTCTTTCACAAAGAGAAAGAGATGACGATGAACTATCTTCTTAAATCAAACTTGCAAAGTTTACTGAAGTGCTCTGTAATTATCCTGTAGTCATTGCTGTGATTTTGTCTTCCAGTGTGTATGTACAGAGAACCATCACTACATGAAATTGGAGAAAAACAAGGGCGTTCAAGGAAAAGTTCTGGAACACCAACCATGAATGGAGGCAAAGTCGTGAATCAAGATTCAACATAGCTGAGAACTCTGCCCTTCTTCCCTCTCCTTCCTTTCTTTCCTCTTCCCTTCCTTGCCCCATTTCCTTCCAAAATCCACCCAAGAGAGAAAAATAAAATGGCATCGCAGGACCTAGTAGCTAAGATTCTGCACTCAAAATCTTCCTTTGTGTAGGACAAGAAAATTGAACCAAAGCTTGCCTGTTGCAATGTGGTAGAAAATTCACGTGCACAAATATCACATTTTAAAAAGCAATGGAAAAAAATAAACCAGGACTCCACAAACATTAAATTAAGCTGTGTTGTTATTCATAGAGGGCTAATTGTCATGAAGACATTACTGTAAATAAGATTAAATAAAATTTACATAAAAGAAAAGGATTTTAAAGAAATGAACTTGAACTCAGAGATCAACGTTAGACCTTAAATCGCTCAAACTCTGGAAAATGCTGTGATAATATTTGTTTGATTTTTTTTTGTATTTTCTTTGGACATCTGGAAATAACATATGATTATATCCTGTAAACCTGGAATTTTTTTTTAGCCATGAAATCAAACCATGTATGAATTATACTCTTCTAATGCCTATTAGGTATGTAACCAGGAATCATTCAAAAACGTTTTAAAAAATTACTGTTGAAGATGTTCAGATTGGTTTTTGTAAAAGAATAGTCAATCACTAATAGCTGATTTAATTCCTTTATATAGAGGTAGATTCTCCTAGGAGAATATCCTATCTTCTCAAGGTATTAATTTACAATATCATTTTTTAAATCATACAAAAACAAAAATTCTTGTCTTAAATGCTAAAGTAACTTCTGGATATCCTCCACCATTGCTATGTCTCTTTGGTGAGGCCCAAGTTACTTGCTCTTCTGATTTGTTCTTAGTTTTTTATTTTGTGGGCACTCTTGAGAGTATAGGTGCATGTCTAGCTATCTTAGAGAGTTTGGTACCATCTCTTGCAGAAGGAACAAAGAATGATTGGCTTTACATAAGGGAATAAGTCCAAGGAAATGGGTAAAAGCAGATTACATTTGCTTTTGTACCTAATAAGAACTGAAAAATACAGACTATATGAGAAACTAGGAGGCATGGCTGTGAGACTCTTAACTTACTATCTTTATGAAGCCAGTGGCTTGTTTGTTGATATCTATCCACGTTCAGTCCATATGTATAAGTTTAGATGACAGTAAGTCTATCTTGGAGAAGATAAAAAGTTATTATACACTGAATTTTCAAGGAGCATAGAGAAATGATATGTAATTAACAATTGTGGTTCCAACAGACAGAATTGTTTGAGTAGCTTGAAGTAGCAAAAAAGAACTCACTATAACAGTAAGCAAACACACTGTTAGGAATACTAACGTATTAGAAAATATCAGCAAAGAAGTGAATGTTATACAATTGCATTGGAATAAGTAGATCTACATAGCCCTACAAATCAGGAATGGTGTAGAGACATCCAAATTAAAACAATAAAACAAAACAGAATGCTAAAATTGTATGCAGATTTATGGATATTATTAACGAGAAGACTTAGCATGTAACTTCTCCTATATCTCTACTGTCCAGCATGTATTATTCCAAATATGACTCCCTAAAATATATACACTTTGCAGAAGCTCTAGGCCCTCACCTCAAACCATGCCACCAGTTGCCGTATTCTTTCAAGGTTGACATAGTGTCCCTGGCTCTACACAATCATTATTCAATGTGCTTCTTGTCCCTCACCAAGTATCCTCTTTTACGTTCTCAGTGGGTAGCAGGAAATGAACTGGGGGAATTTGCCTGAGTTGAGAAGAATAAATGATATACTTGTAGACAAGAATTTTGAACACATTTGCAATGGATACTTGTTTAATCAAAATATCTGGAAAATAACAAATAAATACATTTAATTTTTTTACAAAAAGGAATGTTGCTCTTTAAGGAAAAGAATACCCTTGTAAATACACGAATCTGGCTGTATATTCCTTGTCACTGTTGATTTCACTTGACTCTAAATACACTTGTCACTTTCAGGACCAAACAAATTCCAAGCACAAAGCCTTATTTTCTTCAAGGAAAATAAAAGAACAGAACTTTTCAATAAAATGGGTCATGGGCTGTTTTAGCATGAAATGACTGGAGCTTTGTGGTAAAGCACATATAATCAACCACAACACAACTGACAGCGTCACAGGTAAAACAAATATTGGTGTTCACAATCACCCATTTCACTGGCAATTTCATGACAATCTATATTTAATCTGGTTGATTATGAAAAAAAGAAAATGATACAGATATGGATCTACAATAAAATACCTTCTCTATTTTCTATGGTTGCCCATTGTTTCTTGTTTCTTGTTTATACACACATTTACTTCCTTCTGAATAGCAGTTCAAGTGGACCTTCCTAACTACTCAATTTACATGATGTTTTCATTAATATCATGGCCATCAAAAGTTCATGTAATGAAATGTTTCAAAATTATCTTTCTTTGATTTTCAAATCATTTCAGAGAATATGTAAGAAATCTCACATTTCTTTTACTCCTAAGTAAATGACAATAATTGTGGTTCAGGGAACAGGTAAATATTTGCTTAGTTAATGATTAAAGTTTGTTTTGGTTTTGTTCTGTTTTTGTTTTTGTCAGTCTTGAGACTCAGGCCCTAGACACTCTCCCTGAGCTTTTCTGCCCAAGGCTAGTGCTCTGCTACTTTGAACAGTTTTCTGATGATTAATTGGAGATAGGAGTCTCATGGACTTTCCTGCCCTAGCTGGTTTTGAACCACAGATCCTCAGATCTCATCCTCTTGATTAGCTAGGATTATAGTCATGAATCACCAGTGCCCAGCTATGGCTTAAGTTTTGAGTATGTTCAAATGATTAGTATAAAGAATCAAGATTCTCCAAGTTAAAAAAAATCTCAAATATAGACATATAACTGTCCATTTTCTTTCATGGCTCAGATTTTATATTTTTGCTTGGCAGTTTTATTCTAAGTAAAACAATTCTTTGATATGATTCTTATTGTTTTAAAGCCAAGTTCTTCACCCTATTCTTTTTATCAAATAATATTTTGATTTTCAAAAAATATTATTGGGCTACTCTTCAGAAAAATTATGGCTTTTATTAAAGCTATGAAATTGACCATATAAATATAAATTATGACAAAGTTACTTAAGAATTCTGTTTCAAAATCAATGGGCTAAAGAATAAAAATTAATTGTTTTATAAGTCTCACTGAATAGCTTTTGGATACTATATTTACTTCATTTTTTTTAGCTAGAAGATTGAGGCTTAGAAACAAATGCTACTTAAGTTCCTTGCTAGTTTAGAGATGTTTGAGCATCAGCAAATTCAGACAGGAAGCCATCCTATTCATTCCAGTAAGAGTTTTGGCTTTGAATTATATATTTAAAACTCATAGCATATTGTTATTATAGAATTCCTCACCTCCAAAAAATGCACTCATCATTATAATATGATGTAATTCTTTATTGGCCAGAAAACTTGCTCAGAAAAGCTCTTCTATTTCTTTTTTTAAATATATATTTTATCATAAAGATACTGTACAGAGGGGTTATAGTTACATCAGTAAGGTAATGAGTACATTTCTTATTGAGCATTATTACCCCCTCCTTTGTTTTTCCCCTACTATCCCTTCCCAACCCAACTTCTCCTTTCCCCACCAAAGTTGTAAAGTTCATTTTCAACAAAGTGTCTTGTACATCTCATTGTTACAATAGGCTAACCTGTATCCTTATTTCAGCTTTGTTGTTATTTCCCCTCCCCTCCCCAAATTAGAAAAAAGTATATACAAGATGCAGGACACCGGAATCAAATACAGTGAAAACAGGGGTTGTACCTTGAGGGAAGAACATACGAAAGAAACAAAAAAATCACATATTACATTATAAGTACATTAAAAACAACAACAAAGATAAAACCTCTTGTATCCCTATCTTGGGGTTCATTTTGCTTAGCATCCTCTTATATGGTCATATGTCCATGGAACCTATGTTTCTTTGGGTCTGGCTTACTTCACTTAATATAATTTTTCCAAGTCTTTCCATTTCCTAACAAATGGGGTGGTGTCATTCTTTCTGATGAGGTATAGAATTCCATATTTTGTGTGTGTGTGTGTGTGTGTGTCCGTGTGTGTATGTGGGTAGAGCTCCCCTATGACCCAGCAATCCCACTTTTGGGCATTCACCGAAATGATCACAAAAAAGGCCATACTAAAGCTACCAGCACAACTATGCTTATTGCAGCATTATTCACCATAGCTACCATATGGAATCAACCCAGATGCCCCTCACTAGATGAATGGATCAAGAAAATGTGAGATATATATATATATATATATATATATATATATACATATATATATGTATATATATATATATATATATACATTCATACATACATACACACACACACACACACACACATACACACACACACAAGCTCTTTTATTTCTGAACATGACAATAGCTAAATACCATATTTTAATTGGTGTTCCTATGGGGCCACTAGCAAGAGATGAGAATTTTCAGATGGGAAGAAAGTTTGAAGAGTGGTTGAGAACACTGTTTCTTGGTAAAGAAATATGACTCTATCAACAGTAATCTTTTTTTCTTTTGAATGGTCAGACCCAGAAATACCAAATCTATCCTTACGCCTTGCTCTTGAGAAAGTTTTTCATGATATTGCTTCATTTCATCTGCACAAGATTAGACACAGTCAAACATCAAAATTCCCTGCTCGTTTGAATGCCATGAAAGGATGAGGTTATTTTCTGTCAGAAACTAGAAAATAGCATTTTTAAAGTCAAAAATCACATTTAGAACTTTGGATTGTTCTACAAAGATAGATAGATAGATAGATAGATAGATAGATAGATAGATAGATAGATAGATAGATATAAATATATGCTAAATGATGAACTAGTCTACAATTTTTATTTGAGTTTTGGACTTTGATTATAGGAAGGCAATCAAAAATATAGGGAGATTAAGATAAAACATTGTAGTAAATGTAAATTTTTAATGATAGTACAAATGGCCACTTTATGATAAAAAAGAAACATGTGGCAGCAGTAATCAAAGCACATACTCCCTCAGAATGCCAGTGATTATTAATCCCTTCTTGGGTACAGAAATAGTTATTTTTTATTTCTAAGAAGTTGTCTGAAAAAGTATGTACTTCCTAATAGTGATCCCGTGGTAAGTCATATCTGATTGAAAATTTGCAGTTGAGGAATTTATCGGGAATTTTTCTGGAGCCCAAATTAACAAATCAGTATGTAAATCAAGATTGAGTGAGAATTGCTAATGTTTAGAGATGTTATATACTTAGCTTCAATAACAAATAGAAACAAAACTAAGAATATTTAACATTATGGTCATAACATTAAACTAAAACTTTATTAACCATTATATGATTAAATATTTTACTGATTAGAAACAACAAGTTGATGTTTCTTTGCCTTTGATCCAAGCACAATTGAATGACAGCAGCATTCATTTTACTCAAGTTCATTTTAAAAAAGAAACCAATATCCCAAATACATTTCAATTAGTACATTTGTATTGGCTCTGCTCATATGTTAAATGTGCAATCTTAAATTAATGACACCAGAATGTTTAATACACATGTTATTTGAGAAATCAGGCAAACATGTTTGGGCATTAAAGCACAGATTATTTAAATTATTGTTCATTTTTGAGACCAGAGTTGTACGTTTGTCCATCACAATCTTCCTGAAGTGGAAGGATATTAAAGTCTTGAGATACTCATGCATGTAGACAAAATTCTGGCACCTTTTTTAAACATTAAACTTCTTTGAGAAGTCTTTCTCTTGTTTTTAGTGTGTCTATGTTGTCATGTTTTAATGAAAAAGTGTCTTGCATTAAAAAAAATCAAAGATGGACTTATAGCTGAGACATGAGTGACATTTTACAGGACAGCCAAAAGTAAGCATTGTTTTCTAATTACAAAGGTACTTGGGATAGCCTGACATACTGCTATAAGAGAACTTAGAACTAGAGTCTATGCATGTGTTTTTCACTTGTGATTTACAAATTGATTGGGTTTAAAGGTCATATACCAAATTACATTCTCTAAAGTTCAAGAAAGGCACATGCAAAAAAATATTTTAATAGTCCAAAATATGTGTAACGGTAGCTAATACTGAGATTTCATATTTCATTTATGACACAGAATGGAAGCCTGGAGGGAAGACACAGATTGTTAAAACAGAAAAACATACTTGCTATGTAATATGAATACCTATATACAAAAGACCTGTTGCAGGTCCCTAAGAAAGACATGAGAATTTGTGACTTTAAATAAAAGAGGTAGATTTTGGCTAGCCACTGTAATTAAGAAGTTTGTATAATCAAGAATCTATAGAATGGATAAAAGTCAGCCATCTAACCTGGAATATAGGATTTATTTTACATAAATATGTGTCAAAATGAATGCCAACAATAAAAATAAACTAGAAATAGAACAAAAGTAGACTACAGAGAAGAAAAGATTCAACTCTACATTTATAGAAGAGCTTGGGGACTATTAGAAAAATAAATGTGTTCCATTTGACAGTAATTCAAGTATCAATATTTTCAATGTCTTTAGATAACCATCACAGAGATTAGGTCTTCTAAATCAGAATTTACACCATATTGATTCTAATTATATCCACAAAAGGACTGCTAGGAGTCAACCATTGTGAAGTGTTTCACAAAATAATATCTCAAGTAGACGTTATAGGTTCTAAACTTAAGGCTATTTGAGACTTCACAAGCACCTGTTTTTCCTTTATTTGCTCTACGATAATGCAATGTATTTGAATATGTTAGATGATGATTAAGAATTACCCTGTGACACACATCAAATCAGTATATTCCTTTTGTGGGCTGAATTTGCTTTATATGTATATTGGCATCAAATTCTTGGGTAATGTTCCTCCAATAAATTTGCTTCCAACTTGATTTATTGTTTTTTTCAGATGAGCTAATATTTTATAAAAAAAATAATATACATCCTCAAATCACAAGGCTCCATGACTACTTTGCTTAGGATTTTAAAATCTGATAACATTGTCATGCTACTATTTTGGAAAACTTATCTAAACAATGACATATTTTAGTTACTCAACTATGCCTCATAGCCATACTCATGTATTAAACCTTCAACTTTGTCTTTAAAAATGTATTGTTAATCCAGAGAGGCTCACCAGACATAGACTAGTTGTGCCTACCTTATACCATGAACTCTATAAGAGGAACTTCACAAGAGAAATATTTTGATAAACAAATTGTACTTTG